TTTTTTTTTTTTTTTAATAATTGAAATACTATTATAGGTTTAATCAATATTTTGGATTAGTTTTTATTTTTTCAGTTTTCATTTTAATGTTAAGGTTAGTAATTTTATTGTATTTTATTTAATTGTATTGTATGCTTTTGTTATTTTAATTCGTTTTATTTAGTTTAATTCGTTTTATTTTATTCATTGTATTAATTTTTTGTTTTTACATATATCTATAGTTCTCTCTCACTAACAGTAACTAGTCAGTTATACTTCTTAAGTGTCCACATTCTGACCTGTATAGGTGTGGTAAAAATCAAAGTAAAACTCCTGTTTGCACAAATTTCTATTGGATTGACTGGATTTTTCATGTGAAATTTTAAATGTGACAGCACCTTAATATTAAAGCACAAAAATATAATCAACTCATGGTCATGTCATTTTTAATGACATTAAAAATTTGAAAATAAAATATTAAACATCTTTAAAATAAAGTGAGTTAAACAGAATTTTTACAAATTTACAGACGACCATGGATACGCAGACAGAAAAGGAGTCTGGTTGTAGAAGGCTCATGTCTCTAGCTCATCAATGTCCAGATGTTTTGTGAGAAGAGCTTCTGGAAGGTTCTGACACTGCAGATAGAGAAAAATCACCTGAACCTGTGATGAGGAACAAAAACACACAAGATAAGATGTGAAAAATCATGTGAGAGGACGCAGTGCCTCCTTCAGGCTATGACTGGTCCTGTCAATGCAATAATGCCCTCCTTTCATATTCTCTTCCTCACTGTGATTAATCTGTCACTTTGTTAATGGTCACATCTGATGCTCACTATTGGTCTACAAATCAATTACGGTAATTACTTGCCTTTAAACATCATGACACCTACAAACATTTTTAAATAACTAATAGTCTGCAAAAAGGTGACAATTAATAATAATATTCAAACAACAAATAGGGCTGCATGATTAACCGAACTGAAATCAGGATATAGATTAGTGCATAGATTTAATGTAGATGTAGTGTAGATGTATGGAAATAAATATATGCGCTAAATGTTTCGGAGTGAGTGTAATTAGAAGTGATTATAAAACAAGCAAAATTAAAGCTTGATGGTTTAACATCTAAAAATGAAGAAATTAAGACATTATAAATATTATTATTGTAAATTTACAGTTGTACTGTAATATTGAATAATTACTTTTATATTACTTTTCTTAAACACTAAATTTTTATTTTTACAGTGGAATATTAAAATAGTAATAGTTCTTATTTTGTTTAATATTTTTATTTAGTAATAATAATAATACTGTCAAGTTAAGTTTACATATATAATCTCAGCAACAACAAAAAAAGCAATCACAATTTTTCTCAGAAAAAAAAAAATCACATTCACATTTTCCCCAAATTATGCAGCCCTAGTTGAAAGAGACACAAAGGCTACAAATAAATATGCTTTTTTGTTGTTTTTTTAAGAAAAAGATTAACATAAAGATTAAAAATGCATTAACTTGCTGAGATTTTTATGTAACTTGGCTTTAATAAAGTGTCCATATGAACATCAAATATAAAAATATTGTATTATTTTGTTTTCTTGTTGATAGTTTAAGATAAGTAGTCCATTGTCCCAGAACAAGTGGAAATGTAACATGAACATACATTGGATAAAAAACAAAAAACAAAAAAAACACAGACATGGGATTTTTCCTCCTCATTTCATAAGCCCACGCCATTGTAGGGAAGATACTCAAGTATCCATTGAGTGTAGAAAACTGTTGTTTCACTTCTTCTAAAACAAACCCCAGAACAGAGAAAACTGCATGTGTGCGTAAGCGGTCAGGCTTCAAGGAAATGTTCTCACCGGACTATTTATAATACCACAGTACTACAATGGACACATCAAATATTTATTTTGTAAAAAAGAAACAACTCACCTGAACCACCACTTCTTGAGATATGTCGACACGAGCCACTGGGGGGCGCAAGAGGCTGGGGCCAAACACTGTAGCCAAATTACTCAGAGACATTTTATTCTCTTCCTTCCTCTCTGCAACACTGAGAAACACAAAAAGAAAGAAGATGTGCACGAGAAGGAGAGAAAAATAATAAAACCAAGAAACACCTTTTTCTTATTTACAACCATCAATGTCGAAAGTGATTCAGGTCAGTCTGAGGTGAAACTAAATCCGTGTGATTGTTACGAGTTGAAAGGATGTTGTGTACCGTCTCAGGTGATGTAAG